AGGGAGGGCCTGACCCCACCACGGGAGGTGAAACCAAGAGCGAACAAGAGGAAAAAGAACACTTTTTGTTCTTTCCCACCTCCCACTCCACCACACACACACATTGTGTAGGACCTTGGTATCAGACACTGAGCGCTGAATATGTAAGGAACTCCTTTTTCTTTGTTGTGTGGAAATATCCCTAAAGAAAGGAAAAGCAAATGGCTGCCCCTCTACACAGCTCAGATTTTGCAGATACCTTTTTTTGCAAGAAGTCTGGCTTATTTAGGGCAGCAAAGCATGAGCTGAGAGCGGTTGTCACCACTGCCTACACACAGTTCAACATGGGGAGAAAAAAAGTCAGCCATTATGGCAGAGCTATTTCAGCTGGATGGTAACACTGGCACAGGAGCAAATGGTTATAGGCTGGCATGACTGACCTGGAGCTGGAAATTAAATACAGGTCCTTCACCTTTATTGAAGTACCAGAGAAGCAAGTGCCTGGACCATCCCTCCCAAAGGAGTACAGGACAAAACCTCTAGCAGCTTTCAAAATTAATCTTGAGGCGTTACAAGGGATTTGATACAGCACGAGCGGTGCAGGAAGGAGCCTCAAGTCCTGCACAGCCTCATCACACTGCCTTGCTCCAGGAGAATCACAGAATAATAGGGGTTGGAAGGGACCTCTGGAGATCATCTAGTCCAACTGCCCTGCTAAAGCAGGTTCGCCTACAGCAGGTCTCACAGGATTGTGTCCAGGTGGGTTTTGAATATCTCCAGAGAAGGAGACTGCACAACCTCTCTGGGCAGCCTGTTCCAGTGCTCTGTCACTCTCAGAGTAAAGAAATTTCTCCTCATGTTCAGAAGTCACACAGGAAATGCTTTCCTCTCTGCACGAGAGTCTTGTGCCCCATCCTTGCTCTAACCTCAGGGGAAGGCAGCCAGAGATTAAAAATTTGCCTGAGACTTCAAATTCCTCATAATCTCTGCCACTTCACAGGGCTTTGCTTCAGGCCTGCTTCG